CGTCAAGCTATTTTCTTAATTTTCGTACGTTTCATTGGACGTTATCTTGTATTATACACCAATTTTTAGTCAACGATAGACTTGTAATTTCGATTCGAACATTAATACTGAAAAATTGAAGAGTTGCATTCTACATTAATACTGTAGTCTCGCCTGCAGAGTCGTACATTTTTGTTCGCTAACGAACCATCAGACATACAGAAAATAGATAAATAAAATGAATTTGAAATTGATCAATCGATTTCTTTTAAAGTTATTCTGAAATACTCTTTGATAAATATGATTTGGAGGAAAGATTATTGAAAATTATTAATGAAGTTTCACATTTTAACATGTCTTACGAAATAGCCTGTAACTTTGTTATTTTTGCGAAATTGACCCTAAAATTTTGGCATATTTATATTCAAAATGTTCCTTTGATTTACTGGGAAAATTGAAACTCGATTTTTTGAACCATTTGCAAGAGAATTTTCCTTACAATATTGGTATATAGATCTCGATGAAAGTGACGAAAGAATGATCTAATTCTCCTTATAATATTGGTACATAAATCTCGATAAAAGTGATGAATTGCATGGAGGTAATCAGACGGAGATTCGTACAGAGATTGCAAGTAAACGATCATGCTAGGTGAACATTGAGCGTAGGATGACGCAGATCCGCATAAGCTTGAAATCGCTCATCCCAGCGTGCATCGCATTGCATATGTAGCTCGCATTGAAACGCAGTTTCTGTTTCATTTGACGTCTCGTATGGACTTTATCGATTATTAACGCCGTTCTGTCGAATTCAAGTTGCACAAAAAGCGTAAAAATAATTATTTTTATCGCCAAGAGGAGCCACGGTAAACTATGGAGTCTCTTTCAAGCCCACAGTGTCGTTCGAAAGTTTCGAGGACCCTTAAATTTATTAAAAATATTATTTCGTACATATGAATTGGACGTTATATGGAAATTATAATTGTTTTTGCATCGAACATATTATCTCTGCGAACTTTAAGCAATTTCTCTTCTGGAATATTTTCGTGGAAGTCAAAATTTATTGATACAGAGTAAACGCTATGATTTTGAACATTTAAATTTAAAACTATAGATTAGGAAAATTATTATTTTACTCTATAGTTGCAAAAATCAAAGGGTGTTACTACTTTATTATACAATATGGTTAAAAACAGAAAAAATCCATTTCACAAAACAAACTAAACAGAAAGCTTGCTCTGGCACGAAAATTTTAAGGAAAATTTGTTAATTTTTTGCAGTAATATTTAATAAAGTATAGGTAGACTGCACACAAAATTAGCTTGTCAGATAGGTATAATTTATGCACGTGATCGATAATACAATCCATCAAACGTTATTTCGTTTATTAGTGGCATCGATAACACAAATATGGTTCGAGGAAAAACACGTATAGAATTTCATATGTTTCTTCTTTTACGTCAGATTTGAAAATCAGTTATTTTACCTCGAATAAATGAATCATAGTTCGCGATAATCGTTTCTGAGACGACGAAGCGTCGTTTAGAAATCAATCCGTTCGTCATTAAGAGATTCTGACCTCTTTCGTGGACACCTAAGCCGTGTGTCTTGCAATCGTAATCCAAGAGCTAATTCTTCGGCTGTCGACTCAGCGTCGGGATCGATAACAGAACTCGGGGCATCCATTAGTCGTATTACCGATACCTTTATTTATTTTTTTCATTTTAATTATTTAGCGACGAGCGACAATATAACTGCGCTCGTTTTCAATTTGATTTACTGTTTCGTATTCTTAGTTATTTATTATCCAGCAAAAATTGATGAGCCTGCACACGAGATTGGAAAGTTATTTTCTCTCGATGGGAAATGAATAGAGAAGAAATAAATATAAACGTATCTGGATTTTTAATTAAGCAATCCAATGAATTTTACAAAATTTTACGTATACCATCGATTAAACAAATCAATACAAAACATACAAATTCTATATGAAATTGAAAATACTTGACATTCTTAGAAAGAAACGCACACAACAATTTAATATACATATACATGGAACGATTATATGTGAAAAAATAAGTGGAGAATGTATGTTAAGACTCGGACAAATTTAATTAACGAATTAAAATTTTAGATCCATTCGTAAACTAATTTTCATTCACGTTTCATTCGTAAATTAAAATACATTAATTCATCAGTTGGGCTACGAATGAATCTAAAATATTCATTCGTTATTTGCGAATGAAAATTATCTAACTCTGTTTGAACATCGAAGCAAGTAGAAACATCAAGCAATAGTCAGACAAACTTTCAAACTCAATTATATCGAGAACAAAGAATTACACGGGAAAATTTGATTCTACATTTCTTATTTATTTGTTCACGTAGAATTGTTTACGATTGTACCGTGATTATTGGAACAATATTACTAAATAATAGAAAATTCTAAGTATCGTAAAACAATTATTCAGATACAAAACAATTACAGCCTTCGATCTAAAATATTGTAAGATTTTCTAAGACAATATTTCCCCAATTTGAGAATTTTATTTAATATTCTCAATGCAAGGATTTTATTTTGAATTGAATTTTGATCAACCACTCGACCAACTTGTAAATACAGTTGAAAATACCAGTAGTCATCAATTGATTAATATGTTCTTTAAATTTTGAAAGCTAAGGAACGATCGAAACAAGAATTATTATGTTCCTGCGAGGATTTCCCTTAATTTCGAACGTGGTTTCGAAAGAAGCTGGGAGTTGAGACGATCGTCTCGGGGTTTCTTGACCGAACAGTGGTTTCCAATATGTGGTTAGACCTCAAATGGTTCGTTAGTACGTGTGAGGAGAGGTAAGCCCCAATTACCACCCGATATGTAGTTTTACCGATCGTATTGGAGCGTTGTTTTGGCGCGCGTAATTGCAAACTTTTTGCGTTGTTGCCAGAGACATATAAATTATATCGCATGTTATAGGATGTAATACCTAAAGAATAATTAAAGTGGTTGTCCTATACAAGAGGATTTTTTCAACAGAATATTCTAAGTTTTTAGTCAACGTGTTTACACAAACATTTGCTTTCATTGCATTACATTTAGAAGAATGATTAAATCCCCGATATAACTGTATTATTAATAAAGTAAAAATACACTATTTGCTAAAAGTACGTAGAGCTACGAGAACAATAACGTTTAGATGCTTGCAAACAAGCAAAAATAGATTGTTAAACAAATAAATAAAAGCAACGATTATTTCGAAGAGCACGAGCACATCGTGACAGAGAAACATTTTCTCGGTTTCGTTCGGCCGTAAAGATGGCGTGACCCGACGATTCGATTCGTGTCGGATCGCAGTCGATTAGAAGTCACGTTTCGAAAGCGGGTACGCCGGGACGTCCGGGTGCAGGAAACGGGAAACGGGAAACGGGAACAATGGACCGGGTAGCCTTTAATACAAAAAGCCGCGACGTTTTAGTAAATTTCGAACCCGTTACGCGTCCGTTCCGCTCGAATTTGATTTTTATTCGTACAACAGAGCGAATGCTTGCGCCCCGTAACCGATTGAATGGCTCCGGCGAAGCAGCCGAAGCGTGCACGGTTCAAAAGAACGCGTTCACGTCGCACGGAGGAGCGCTTAAAACTCGATCCACGCTCGCGTTTGCGAGCGTTCGTCCGTGACGCCGGGGTACCGGAAGCCTCGAGCTGGTCTGGCAAGGGGACGAGGGGAGAGGAGGGTGGGACAGGATAGGATGGATGAGCAAAAGCATACCCGAGGGTCTGGGGGGAAGGTTTTGCACCGTGTTTACAGTGTTCCGTCACACCTGATCCTATAACAGGCTCACGGGGCGTCGCGACGGTCCGTGTCGGTGAGCGTCGAGCGGACGGTCGAGCAAACGAACGGTGGCCGGATAAGACGGGAGGCGTCGTACTTCTGCCGCGAAGGGGTAACTTAAAATTCTCGGAGCCCCGTCATCCCGCTGGATAACGCGACGGTTATTCGTGAAAGAACGAGAGAGAGAGACGGGGAGAGAGAAGAGAATTTTCGTACGCTGCACCCGTACGACCCTTAACCAGCCACGATGCATACAGTGGCTCGCGAAAGTATTTCAACGTTGTTGGAATCTTGCGCAATTAAAATATCCACGGTTAAATGTGAGGTCTGAACGTAATTTTGCAATTATCGTGCTGGGAAGGTACGAGTGTCTGGATGTTATAAGCTTGTTTATTACGGAATATTTTTTCATTTCTGGACCGTCTATGTGTTCAATTATGATTACGGTTAATATTTGACAGACATACTTAGCTATATGTGCTTTATTAACCCCTTGAAATGTATACTATTTAATTTTGTTTAAATCTGTCACGAGAAAGAATAGATTTGTTTTACGAATACTGAATTTCACTTGTTTCAAATTCAATTATCTCGAAAACGAAGGCTCGATGGAGAAAACGTTATTCGTTCTTTTTCACTTATTTTTACACGTAGAATCATGCTGTACTCGTTATTATACTACTCATCTTCCCATTCCTATTCCTTTACACGAAGTCACAATTCAGAAAATAACAAATTTGAAATTATAAAATGTGTTATTTCTAAAAATAGAAACACTGCTTTAAACTTGCAAGTAACGTATGGAACACCCACTATCACGATCCGGAGCGTTTCCTTAGAATTTAAAATTAATATTAGGACGAACAAAGCCCTGAGAAAAAGCTAGTTTCGATTCCTAATCATAGTCGGGAAGTTTGATTCATGAATAACGAATACAAAATTTTAGGTTCAATCATAAACCTTTTTATAGATTAGAATCTATAAAATTGACTATCTATAAAAAATGTATTACTTCTAAAAATAGAAACAGTGGATTAAACTTGCAAGTAACGTACGGAACACACACTATCGCGATCCGGAGCGTAGTAACTCGTCCCCATCCCGTTTCCTCATAACACCAGTAAATAATATGGAGGGGGACGGGGACGGTAAGCAGCTCACGTCTGACGCGTCACGTTCTGGCATTTGCAGAAGCCAAGGCAGAGATAGCCGGTCCCATGGAGAAGTTCGTGAGGCCGGGCAGCACCCTGCAGCTCCACTGTGTCGTGAAAAAATCGACCGAGACGCCCTCGTTTCTATTCTGGTACCACAACTTCCGGATGATCAACTACGACGTCGATCAGGGGGTCAATGTCAGCACCGATCTGACGGGTCGCGAGAGCTGGTTGGAGGTGCCGCGCGCGTCCGATCGTCATTCCGGAAATTACACCTGCGAGGCGAGCAACGCGCAGCCGGCCCGTGTCCTGGTGCACGTGTTCAAGGGGGATAATCCGGCGGCCATGCAGCACAGCATCGCGTCCTCGCCGTCCGTCATGGCGTGCAGCGCCCTGCTGATGATGTTCGCCACGTTGAAGCTGGTGCTGCACTCCACCACCACCAACTGACCGTCGTGCGCCGGCACGCGCATAGCCAGACGGATCTAGGGAGAACACGTCCACGTCGGCACCGACTCGGAGAAATCTTGTGGCGTGACATGTGCTATGTTTTACCAAGTTCCAGGACGCGAGACGTTCGGGGACCTTCGCAATCCGATGTCCCACGGTAGGTGAGAAACGTTATCGCGGTGGTATACTTTTTCCGCGAGTAACGAGACGCTCTGTAACCGTGTGCACGATTCTATAATCACTGTAAATAGCGTTAACCCGTTTACGAATGCTCAAAAAGTAGCTATTTCGAGGGACGCGAATAATAGGGGGTGGAATATTTCGCCTTTATTCGCGTTGTTCGTGGCGAATGATAAATCTCGTCGTTCGGTATCTCTACGTTGCTCAAGCTGGCATTTCACGCGGCGCCATTCTATTAACTGTTGTGATACGTGTGACTGTAAGCTATGTGTACTATCGCGATAATAGAACTGTAATTGTGTAATCTGTCTGCGACGAGCGGCACGATTAATGGCGGCAGTCCTGTCGCAATCCGGCGCGCGTTTTACCGACCCGAAAACTTTCCGCGACGCGCCGCAACCCGCCGTAACGACAACTTCATTCGGACGGGGTTGTTAACGACAACGGACGAAATTTGTTACGTTAATAGCAGACGACGCGGGTCGTGCGCGACCATTTAGCGTCGACCGACTGTCGCGAGAAGAATCGTACGCGGTCGCCTCGGAAAGTGAGCGAACGCCTTTGAGCGGTTCAAATTTAGCGAAATGCATCGAAATTTTGTCGCTTTTCTATTATTTCGACCGAGACTTTTGGGAAAATTCTTTTTTGACAGTGTAATACAGTGTTCCATCGTTAATGTTCGCGCTTTAAACGTTATCAAGGGAGCTAAATGAAAATGGAAACACTCGAAGTGAGTGAAATGGAAAGAAATGTTCAAAAGATTATAAAATCGTTCATAAATCAAAAGTACATTAGATACATTGAAATTTAAATATAAAAGTATAAACAAGCGTAGATGTTATTAAAAAATAATTCTGCAGCATACAAAATCGCCTTAATGATTTAAATAGACAGACTATTAATTTATCAAAATAGATTTTGAGGCGTTTACTTATTTTCCAATGTATCGTAATGGGGAAAAATCAATATTTTGTTTATACTTTTGTAATGTAATTGATTAGGAAAATATTTATCATCGTTACAAAACTTATATCTTACTATTTTATCCGGATTCGCTGATTGTTGATTTATTTTCCGAGGCGACTGTAAATTCGAATCAGAGATTGGGCAGAATTTTACATCGAGTTAGGCGAATTAGTACGTATCCATCTAGGGTAACTGTCTCACTAATTAGACGGTTAAGGAAATACGAACTTCGATTAACTAAAACAAATAGAACTAATGTCCCTTCATTTAAAAAGATTATTTTGATTGAAAAATATCAAGATGTTCCAGTGATCAGACTTAAAAATTCCAAGTGTCCGATAACTGGAGTATGGTAAAAAACATAATGATATTATTTCGTACGAAGTTTCATTTCTGAATAAATCAATGAATAATTTGTGTTTTTGAATATTATCAATTTTCAGTTATTGTAATGCTCGCGTTATGACTGCTAGTAACTGTAAAGTCCAGTATACAAAACGTCGAAATTCTAAACACTCGTTCAAAGGGTCGAGCTTCGTCGACGTAACAATTATTTTCGACTAATTAGAAAAAGAATACAGAGAAACTGTTTTTTGCAAAATTAAAAAGAACCCCTAGAATAGAGACGAGTCAACTTTTTCACGGCGTAGTTTTTTCTAAAAATTCTGTTTTTTAAATATTACACGAGAATAAATTCTACTTGCTTTTTACGAAAAACATTTTGCCACTGGTTCATTAACGTGTATGACGAACAATTTTTACTAAATATTCTATGAACCAACGAATTTAATTTCAGGTTAGAATTTTTCAGGAACGAGTGCGTGGCGCTACAAATCCCTGCTGTGGGTTTTAAATGAAACGACGTTACTCGTAAAATTTTTTTGCATATCTCAGTGCCATTTCTGAAATGTACATTCAATTCTGGGGCATAAACGTTTGGGCTGACATAATTGAAAAAGCAATCGTTGGCTCTTCGAATGTAATATCGCGTCCCGTGAATCATTAGAAGACGCGCTTGAAACTCGGAAGAATTTAATTTTCCAACAAAATGGAGCGCCAACGCCACGTTTCGGTAGAAGTGTCAGAGATTTTTTTGAATATTCAATATGGTGGCCAGCTTGGCCACCTGCGATCCCGGGACTTAACGCCTATGGATTTTTACTTATGGCGTCGCGTCGGAACTTTTGTGCACTGGTCGAATACGAGTCGCGGAAGAAAATTATTCTTGCATTCGAGCATTCGAAAATGGAGAATACCGTCGCCAGGAAAAAAGTGGAAATCGTTTTCAACAATTTTTACATCAGAAAACGATTAATTTCTAATTTTAACAAAATTACGAATTTTAACAGTTTACGAATTGTCATCCAAAAAATTTAAATAAGGAATAAAAATATTAGATTCGTTCGTACATATTTGTCTGAATATTAAAAAAAAATCGTTGATAGATTTTAATTTATAACTGATAAGTCAGTTTACGAATCGGTCTAAAATCCCAACTCTTGATCGAGCATCGATTTATTTTAAAAAATGAAGCTTCCGTACGAAGAATGTCGTCCATGTTTTCGGTTTGTTTTTTCGCGTGGATTTAAACTGTACCATCGATTCTGTGTACTCAACTTTTCAGCCATTCGCGAGCGTCCGGCAAAAGTTGATCGGTATCGAGTGTGCAACGGGAGAGATCGAGAAAAAAAAAACCTGCACGAATTGAAGCGACCAGTCGCGCTGGTGTGTGTTTACTCGTTGCTCGAAACTTTAATCCAGCCAACAATTTTGCCCATCTTTTTTTCGAATTGCTCCGACGATAACGAGAGTTGATAAGGGATTAAATCGGGGCGAAGTTTCCCGGTTATAGTAATGGAATATTCCATATTCGGCCTACGTACAGGTGCGCGTAATTAATCGTGATAATCCCGGCGTAATGCAGCACAGCCTAACGACATTATCTTCCATTGCCTTGCTCCGCACAGACGACCTTGCTCATAATGTCCAAATTAGTTCTATCCGACGTCCGCAAAATGGCCGTGCTCAGGTGTACACGTAGAGGGGACCGTCGTTCGTTTTTTGGGGTATCGAAAGTCGTCGCGTAAAGTATCGACAACGAAGTCGATGGCGTTTAAACGTTTAGAGTATCACCAGCGACGAACTGCGTCGCTGTCGTAATGTAAACGTACGATTTGCTCGCGTAAATCAGCGTGCAACCATATTGACGATAAAACGTCGCGGGGAAAATTAATTTTGAAACACGTTTCTAAAGTGAAAAGGCAATATATATAGTTTCCTTTTATTCGAAAATATAATAGCATTTAATGTGACAATATTAACAGAGATGTTGGCTAATTTAACTCTAATATTGTGTGACAAAGTACAAATTTCATTATCTTGTTATTCATTGATAAATGTTTTCAATGATACAAACTCTCAAAGCATGAAGATTAAAAACAATATCAACGTGCAATCAGTTTTTATCGTTGTCTATTGTTTGTTTTACTTTAATTTAATTTAATTCGTAGAGAAACTTTGAAATAAAATTATAATATGATTGTTAGCTAATTTAACTTTTTAATATTGTGTGGTATATTTTTTTATACATTTTTAGTACATGGTACATATACGTTTGAAAAAGTAAAAATTTAAGTAAAAATCCCAAAGCATAAAGATTAAAAACAATATCAACGTGAAATCGTTTCTTATACTTTCAATTATCACATAACGATATTATTACCTCGAATAAATCGAATAATTTGAGAATTATAATTTCCAGTAAAAGATTGTTTTTGCGTCGAAAGATTGTTTTGCAAATTAAATTATTCAATATGCCCGACTAAAATCTTGCCTTTTCACTTTGAAATTATGCTTGAAAATGAATAGTTCCCGGAAAGTTTCGTCGCGAAAATACGAGTAGGTTAAGTTATGCGAGTGTACACGTAGGGGAAAGAATAACGTTATTCTCGGTTGGACCGCGATACTATCGATTTCTATCGTTCGTTATATCCGACTATTATTGTACTATATATTTTCTATACGACAGTTAATCGTTATCGATAAATTATATGGTAGATTCTTTAAATGGACGTTTGCGTTTTATTGTCTGATGAAAAGTACAGACACGATCATCTGGACCACGATATATCGCAGCGTTAGTATTGTCGCATGTTTCGAGCTAATCCACTATAGTAGACAACTGTTTCACGTATTGTACACATCGTTGATGCGGATAATCCAATTTTACAAATAATAAACTGATCGTGTTACGTGTACGAGCGATGTACCGACCGTCGAGCGAATGATGAAGCTCAATGATAGCGTGCGCGTGCCTCTGGGAGTACTACGGTTAAATGAAAATCCCTGTTATAATTGGAGGATGGATCGCGATTAATCGATCGATCGAACTTGTTATAATAGGAAACCGAAACGATTATATTTCTTCGAGCGTACGCCACTTGACGAGGGATTTGATTCGTATAAGTTAGAACGATTAAATAATTTAATGTGATGTTCGATGATATCGTCGCTGTCTGTTATAATGTATATATATATACAACAAGCGTATATATATATATTATATATATATATATGTTACGGACGTCGTACAATGTTAATCTCATTTACAGTTGAATAAAGTTTTCATATAAATTCCACTCGACTTTGAAACCGATGCGTGTTCTTTAATTAGTCGCGTGGCTCGGCGATAACGGAACATTAACGGGGATATTTTAATTTTGAACAGGATATTTTGATTTCGAACATAATACCGGGTCTGGTATTCATAAACTCGAGCGAATTAATTCAGAGGCGCCAGCCACTCGGTGGATACACAACGAACTGTGCCGCTGAATTGCATCGCAGTCGCGAGAATGAGCACTTTGTTGCAAAATACGAGGCAAAAAAAAGAAAATTATGCTAATGCGTTTACTGTTCGAACCGAGGGGAGATTCTCGTATAACGGATCTCTAA